TGTTTAGGAGGTCGAGATGTTCTAGATAGTAGAGGAAATTCAGGCAATATCCTCCGGTTCAGGTTTACGCATAATCGGAATCAGAGGCTTCGGTGGCCAGTCCCTAGTGTAGTCCTTCCACTCGAAGGTCGCTAAGAACTTGTGACGCCCCGAACCTACCCAAAAGCCTCCGTCTTCACGAGAACCAACGGGCTGTGATAACGTCTCCCGAGTCGGCAAGATCACGCGCGCACGAGAGTTGGGCGGTATCAACAGGTCCATGTGGAAGCGGTCTGCATCAGTCTCGATCGACCACCGGCATTCTAGTCGCCCATAAGGAGTGTCATACATGGCTTCGGCAGAGTGAATTGTAGGCCCAGGTGTCGGGGCTACCTGACTGTGTTTCCAACCTGGAGCCAGAGGGCTGACGCCGGCCACGGTGGAGTGCAGCCAATTTATGATCGAGCCCAGGGCGTAGTGGTTGAAGCTGGTCATTTCGCCAGGGTTGATGGACCCGTCGGGGAGCATGCTGTCCCACCTCTCCCACATGGTCGTCGCTCCCATGGTGATGGGGTACATCCACGATGGGCGAGACTTCTCTAGCAACATCCGGTAGGCGATCTGGGGATGTCCGCTCTTGGTGAGAGCATGCGTGATGATTGGAGTGCCCGCGAACCCGGTGGCGACGCGAAACTTGGCGAGCCGGACGAGGTGGACGAGACGTGATGCTGCAGCTTGCGCTGCTTCAAGGGTGGAGTGAAGGTCGTACACGATGGCAAGGCTAAGCGCCGTTTGGGTATCGGCGACTAGTAACCCAGTCGCCGTTATATACTTGGCCTGGAACCTCGCCTTGAGTCGATTATAGTCCGCCTTAAACCGTGCGGCATCCTGGCTCTGGCCGAGGACCTGGCTGATTTCGGACATCACCGAGGTGATGTGCACGAGATAGGCATCAGCAACGAGGGTTCCGCTGGTGCGTGCATCCCCTGGTTCCTCGGGCGGCGCTGTTGGGTCTAACCAGTCTCCCAGTTGCCAAAGCTCAGGGTCCCAGAGTCCATCTGAGCCGCGACGGATGCCGCGATCGATCCAGGCGAGCATGCTTTCATATTGACGGCGGAGAATTTCACTGTCCCCATACGACCGGTAGAGGGCCCAGGGCGTTAGGATCACCACATCGTCCCATACAGCCTGCGGCGTATGCGGCCACAGGGTCTCACTAATGATATTGGGGACTGTAAATGGAGGCACGCAGCCATCTTTCTCCCTCAGCTGCTCGGCCGCGACATCTTGCAGCCAGTCGCTCAGCATGCCAGCAGTATTGTAGAGGAAGTTGGCCGATGGGCAGAAAATCTGAATATCCCCGGTCCAGCCAAGGCGTTCATCCCTCTGGGGACAGTCTGTAGGAATGGACAGGAAATTCCCACGCATACTCCACCAGGCATTGGTGTGGAGTTGATTGACCATAGGGTGCGAGCAGGAAAACCATCCGCTGCGGGTCATATCAGTGTGCATCACACGCGCCTTGATGTTGAGGAGCAGTGATCCATCGCTTTCTTCATCCCAACCATTGACCTGGACGAATCGAAATCCGTGGAATGTATACTGAGGCGACCAATCTACCAGCTCTGTACCATTTAGAATGACTTCGTCGGTGCACTTGGCATGTCGCAGGGGTCGAACCCCGAGCTCGCCATTCTCAAGCACTTCGGCGTGGATGAAGGAAACGCGAGAGCCCGAGGGCTTGTTCAACGAGCGCACGCGAAGTCGACCGACCAGGTTCTGGCCGAAGTTGATGACGGTGGCACCGGATGGGGTCATCTGGACGGAGACTGGAGATATCTCCTCGGTGATACGGACTGGAGGAGCGTTCGGTGCCACCAAGGCCGCGGTTGGGAAGTCAAGTTCCCGGACGGCCACCCAGCGAGAGGCCTGGTCAAGGCGCGAGGAGTTCCAGGTCGGATTCTCTTCACGGGTATCGTAAACCTCGCCGTCATAGAGCTCACTCCGGATGATGGCACTGGGAGTACATGTCCAGGTGCTATCAGTACACATGGAGAATCGGTCTCCCTTAGGTCCAAGTTGGATCTCCAGCTGGGCCAACACGGCCAGTCGATCCCCATACAGCTGTCTTCGCCCACCAAGGAAGCCGAGACGAGTGGCGTACCAGCCCTCTGCAACCTCTACCGCAAGGACATTAGGGCCTTCAGCATTCAGGAAAGGCGCGATGTCGAACACTTGATAGTTCAAGCGATGGCGATAACTGGTCCACCCGGGGGCCAGGCACTGATCCCCCACCCGATGCCTGTTGACGAAGGCGCGGTATACTCCAAAGCTGGTGATATAGAGTCGGGCTTTGTCGATGGTACTCGCTGCAGGAAGTTGGAATTCCTTCCGGAACCGCACCGGCCGCAATGGATTATCTGGCTGTGGATGTTCGGGGCTGGCAATAGGTCGGGCTACCCAGTCAGCGCGGTCGAGTAGTCCACACTCAATGGTCCGCCAGGGAGACCAAGCGGTAGCACAGTCACCCTGCTGCTCCTCGCCGGCGCTGCACCCGTATGCCCGAACACGGACCTGTGCGATTTCCCGGGATTGTAGTGGGCCACTGGGCCAAGGGACCAGCACCGATGCATTGCTGTTCACATGGTAGGTTTCCTCTCGAGATCCGGGACGAACAACTTCCACTTCGTAGGCCGTCTGCTCCCAGTCGCGAGGACTACTGTCGGTGGTGAGCAATCGCCATGACAGACGCGGAGTCGCAGTTCCAATGCCGAACCCAGTTGAGTGTTGCTCAACTGTAGGGGTTTCAATCAAGATCTGGCTGGTCATGGCCGGGGAAGATGAAAGGAGGAAAGTGAAACAAAAAGTGACTGAAGAAAGCATAGAAATATATATGTGTGATGCATGCATGCCAACAAACCGCAAGTAGTCGCCTCTCGCGCATCATTCCCACGAAACCCCGAAGGGCTCGGAGTAACCCCGCATACTGTGTCAACCTCACCCCAGCACTAAACAGGAATCTTGAGGTTTTATTGTCTTCTTCCGAAGCATGTGGGAATTATCATAGAGTAGTATGGTAATTGTCCTTGCGAAACTGATTCCTGACGCTCCCCGCAAATGGATTGCTATGATGATATCTGTATCCAGGAAGTATAACAGACAATACTGGTAGGAGAAGAGGAGAGAATCCATAACTTTAGGCGAGCATAGTTTAGTTGAGTCACATGACTAGCATGTGTTGCTTTCTCTGAAAAATACTACAGAGTACTTGGTGTAGTAGGATTACAATAGTAGGAAGGGCGGGTCTAGATCTTATGATCTTCGTCTCCTTAGCTCAGCTCTCAGGGCGAGGCAGTCTCCTGGTTCTCGAGTAGTCATACGTGAAATTTAAACCGTTGTATAAAGTGGATCGACTTGCTCTGCTTCGTGGGTATACCTAAGTATGAAAGAAAATACCATATTACCTCTTCATTAAATCGATAAGTGTTGAACAGCCAAACTCAACCGATGCTCATGTCTCAGCAATCGCTCCAACCATAACATAAACCCATGTTCGCTATCTCCCGCAATGCACCAGGCTCCTGAACCTAACCAGCCCAAAAGTCCAAAGAGAAAGAAAGCTCATCGACTCATAAGCGTTCAATGGTCGCTCGTAGCTGGAACCAAAGCAATGCTGCTAAGACGAGATAAGACAGAAAAAATTACAATATCTCCAGATCCTCGAACTCGACCACCAACCCTTCGTTCGCTGATGCCGCCGCCGATCCGGCCACCCCGGGACCATTGGCCATCGCCCACATCGTCCCGGTGCGAGGCAGACTATGCGGGCGACTGGCATAGACGCCCACGTGGACGAACTTGTCTTCTACCCCGTAGAAGAACCATGTTACTTCCCGCAGCTTCTTCCACGTGCTGCTCACGGCCGCCGGGCTCGCTGCATATGGCACCGCTGATGGATCCTGGTACCATATCCAGAGCGAAAGTCCGACTCGTTCCATTTTGATCCGTAACGAATGCATGGCCGATGGACCGCGATCGGGGATCGACAGTGGTGAGAGACACCAGTCCGCGCCGTCGGAGGTTGCGCTTACCGACGATGCGTTCATCGTGCCCGAACTGAACTCCATCCCGGCCTTGACCCATTTACAGGGTCGTAACGGTTGAGGGTACCCAGGGCGGCCCGATCGTGGAGTACTGTCTGACGAGAATGATTGCGGCGCAGCTCCGGCAAAGATCACCAGACCACCCTGGTCCCATTCCATTTCCCAGTCGGCCGTGACAGTGACCTCGGCAATTACAAATGGGCTCCGCAAGGATGTAAACACGATAGGAGCCGTTGCAGTATCCCGGTCCGGTGGCTTACGCCAAAGGTCCGTATTTGGGCCGGCGGTGAGGGTGAAGTATTCCATGCATGGCGGTAGCGAAAATGTCGAGGGCAGATTCAGCGCCGTAAAAGACGAACTGCTGGGGGGCATTTTCCTTATCTCCTCTCGATTCCTTCGACCACTGGAGTAACCACTAAAAGACGTTCCCCTGGTTCGTTGCGCGAATCTTCCGTGCTACCGTGATGACACTAAGTAGGCGAGTCACTCAAGGGCCCTCTTATCCTTACTTTAGGTTTGCACTTAGAACTTTGGGCGGACAGCTCGTGGGAGGGTAATGAGCGATGCCCGCTGAGGTGGAGGGATGGAAGATGAAAGAGAAAAGAAGCGTGCGGTGTGGGCAAGATTCAGTTCCGATTCCACCTTGAAGCAAGGGATTCCCGACCTCTTGACGACGTGCTCAACGTCAACCTGCCGTTCTGGGGCCTTCGAAAAAGAAAGGTGAAGGCAGGGAAAAGGAGTCGGTAATCAATAAGCTAGTAGCAAACCAAGCCTGGTCCGGGCGCCCAAGTAGTGTCTGGGGGGAAAAGCAAAAACACAAATGATTGAAAACCGCTAGACTATGTCAGGGTCAGTTGAAAAGAGTCCTTAAGAGAAAAGGAGATGCCCCGAGGGGGGTTGGTAAGGCGAGGATGGGAGACGTACAGTTAGCTGGCTGTGCGCTGAGACACGCACGAACAGTACCAGAACAATAACTTATAGCCAGTCCAACGCGACTGGCGGTGATCTGACAACATCCCAGCTAAAGAAACCAGCCCGTGGCGATGCCACCTGAAGGGCCGCTTTATAGAAGAGTCAGGTCAGGGAACCAGCGAGCTGGCCCCAGGGTGATGGTCTGGGCAGAAAGAGCGATGTCCAACCAGACGAACCATGGCGCTGGAACAGGCGATCATTGCTCGACAGTATCCAGGAACCTGGGTAGCACGGCGACCCGTGCTTGCATCTTCCTTCCTTTCTTTGCTTTTCTGTGCCGTTCTCTTCTGGTTGCCCTGCGCTTTTCGCTTTTTCCTTATTTACTTTTCTTCTTTACTTTCCCCTGCCTGGTGCATGGCGAAGAGTTCCCGTCTTTGCAGGTTTGCTATTCCAGTCTGGGCTCTGGAACTCGCCGTCCAATGCAGACCAGTTCAGGAGTGGCGGGTCATCCTGCAGCTTTGGGAGACAAACAGCTTTTTGGGGAGAACCACGCAAGTCTGAGTTGTGGGAGGGAGGGTCGCCTTGTTCAGGGCAGCTGAATGTCCAGCTCCCATCTGCACGTAAATTTCAAGAGCCCAAGCGGGTCGGGGATTGGCTGTCAGAATTGGAGGGGGAGGATGTCGTGGAAGAGCTGAAGCCGAAGTGGAGGGAAAGTTGGGTTGTGCGAACGAGAAGGATTTAAGACGGGCAATTTGTTGCCACATCCACTCGGAGGCCACGATGGTCAGCAAACCACCGCTCATCTTATCTACTTGCTTTCTCTTCTTCCCGTCTTCCATGGCCAGTCAGCCGTGATTCTATTTTGGCCTGCTTACTGCCGTCCGGGAGGCATACGCATGTGGCCTTTTCGGGTTGCGGATGGTTGTGCACACCATCGCGCCCGTACCTCGAAACATTGGTCATGAATCAAAAGGGCTGCATCGCTGTCGCCTAATGCACCATCCTATGTATGAACGTCCCCGAGGCCTGAAGAAATGCGGCCAGATATTAAATGGTTAATATGCTTACCTGCAGGTGCAGGGTGTTCTTGGTTTCCGAAGGCAGCACACCGTCATTGGCCTTATTCGGGGCTAAGGCATGGTGACTTGGAGAATACCCGTCGAACTATGACTTGTCACGATCCGAGGCGCCTGGGCGAAAAAGGCGTGATCCTCTTGACGAGGCTGTTAGCTTTTTGTCTATACCCTCTTTGAAGGCTAGCTTTATAAACCCACCTGCCACTCTTTGGGCGACAGTCGGTGTTGGCAGGCGCCCAACTTGATGATAAAAGCGCTAGACCTCCGCCCTGTCTGGCACTTGATACTGCTCTGGAGTGTGGAGGGATTATGCTGTCTGCACTTGATCCTTCGCACCCGGTGAGCTTTTCTGAGAAACCAAGGGCATATCCCAGTTATACAGATCGATCGGTATTGCAATGTGCTTGTGATTACTAACGTGCTTTTTCCAGCCGATGAAACTAAAGCCGGACGGCATTTCATACCGGCCGGATTTCAATATGGACTTCGGATGTTCTGTCTATTCTCGCCTAATTTCTGGATTATAATAACTAGCAAGTAGGCATATCGACGACTTGTCGCTGCGCCTCTTCACCCTTGATGTGTTACTAATGGTCAAGGACATCTGGAGCTATACTAAGATCAAAGCAGACATTTTAGATGTATAGGCATCTCTTGTACACTTGGCAAATTTTGCCTATTCTTCTGAAGCACTCCGTATACATTCAACTGCAGCGACATTCCAAATGCAACATGGAATCACAATGTTCCGGACTGATATATGCACGGATCGGCGGGATGTGTGAGGATATAACATGGGTCCAACACTTTTTGTGACTGATTCAAGCCAGACTGCAGCACACCCTGCAGAGAACCTTGTACTATTTAACCGTGGACAACTAGTACAGTGCTGCTCGTTGGAGTACTCTGATGATCATCTCGACTAATACATCTGACACTACTGACACTGCTACCGGATATCATATGACAGTACATATTAATATTGTATTGACCAGCTGAGAGTAGGGGATCCTACCCAACCAAACCAATTACATTACATAGCAACATTTTCGATGACTTCCCACAACAAGTAAAGATGTTTTCAAAACCAAAATAATGAACCGACGAAACCAACATCCACCCACCGTAACTATCCAATGTAGATATGTATACCCCCAACCCAACTACGGCACCCCACACCCCACCACCACGCAAAACCCGGGTGCAGTTTAGTTTAGCATTACCAACCAAGCAACTGGCGTCATCATCCCTCCAATACTCTCCACCCACCAATCCATCCAATACTACTTCCTATCCCGACATACTCCCTCCCATCATATCTTTCACCACCTTCCACCAACTCAACATATAACGGCTCATACTCATTTCATTCTTTCCCCCGCCCCCACCAAAGTAATAAAAAGAACCAAGGCAAGAGAAAATGGTCTGCGCCAAATGCCAGAAGAAACTCAAACAAACGGAGCTCGCCACTCCCGGCGTGAAACGCAAAACAGAAATGTACTATGGCTCACCAGCCACAACGCTCGGTGGTAGTAGCAGCAGCAGTAGCAGTGGTGCTGGTGCTGGAGCTGCTGGAGGGAAAGCCAAATCTAGTACGTTGGGGACTACGGGGATTGGGAAGGTATTCTTCTTCTTCTTATTATTATTACTACTACTACTGTTACTACTATATGACGCTATGATGATAGTTATGCTAATGAAATGCCAGAGCAAACTCCTCAGCTCCAAAGCCAAGAACCCCTACGCGGCGTATGCTTCCTCCTGTGAGGTTTGCAAAACCAAAACGGAGCAGGGGAGGAAGTATTGTCAGCGGTGTGCGTATCAGAAGAATGGTTCGTTTTCTTTCCTATTTACTTTCAGTTATTGTTACTAGTTCATATGGCTGGGGGATTACGAGCTAACGCTGTGTAGCGTGTCCGATGTGTGGGAAGGGGTTGACGGGGAGTTCGTCGAAGAATCAGCCTGCGATTACGGGGCAGAAGTTCAACTTGAAGTAGTCATCAGTTTTTTCTTTTCTGCATTTAAGATACCTACTTATTGTCTTTTGCCACTATAACTGGGAAGAATTCTGCATGGCGTTCGGTTGATTCGGGATAGTCTTAGGAACAAGAAAGGTCTTTATTGCAAATAGAAAGCGAAAAGAGAACAATAAAAGCTAGTTATACATGACCGACGAGATGATATATGCAAGACTCAGACCTGCTGTACTACCGACCAAGGGCAACATCCCCTCGGGGAAAGAAACAAGTCCGCACAACGATAACTATCCATATCCATACACTACTACTCCATCACACCTAAGGAACACCGGCTTACCGATCGGCCAGCATGTTCTTGACGCTGGCGTAGTACTGCGGCTTCACAAACTTCGAAATCTCGTCCTTCGACAGCCACTTGAAGTCGGTCAGGTTCTGGGCGTTTCCGGAAAGATCGGCCTGGCCGGCCATGATACGCGACTTCATGAAGAAGACCTTCTCGCCTGCGGGGCCGGTTGCCAGCTTGCTCGGGTTGCGGAAGTTGTAGACGTAGTGGCCCACGGGGTGGTAGCCGACCATCCAGGTGTTCATGTTGACACCGGCGGCTTGCTCGAGGGTACGTTCGGCGGCCTGTTTTCAAATAGCGTTAGCGCTGCTGCCACTGCTGATGCACTGAGCAGAGTCAGCAGAACTTACCTGACGGAGAGTCTCTTCAGCCACGATGGGAGAGCTGGGGAACGTCCAGAAACCATCCTTGGACTGCACAAGGAGATAAAGAGTCCTCTGCAGTGCCCGGTTGAGGCTTCTCTGATCGTTCTTCTGGTCCGCCTCCGTCACCCGGGGGAAGGGTCTCGGGATCTCTTCCTTCTTGCTAGTATCCTGGGAAGTGGCATTGACCGTCGACTCCGCATCCTGCACAAGCATCTCCACCTGGTGGGCCGGGTCCGACTCTACGGCTCCAACGAGGAGTTCATCGTTCCATGCCTCCTTCGAGTACGGGTTGTACTTGCCGATGTCGCGTGCGGGGGTCTGACGCTCGCGGATCTTGCGCTTCCAGTCCTCGTCGGCGGGCGTTCCACGCTTGAAGTAGAAGTATTTCGTGAAAGGTAGCTGGAGACGCTCGTTCAATCGCTTCTGGTAGAAATAGTACGCCTTCTCGAAATCGGTAAGATCGCGGGTGATTTGAGGGGGACGGGAGAGGACCACGCCGGCCTTGATGGTATGGGTGGGCTTCACGACGGGGAAGGCTGATGCGGCGGTGGAGGAAGTTTCTGCGGAAGCCTGTGTAGAGGCCGTGGCGTAACTGCGGCGGACAAGCGTCTCTTGACAGCTTCTGCACACTCTAGGATCGGAGATCGCAGGCCCTGGAGCAGTCAGTACGGATATGCATTGGTTTTGATAATTTCAGATCGGCAAGCACGTACGCAAAAGCGACGCTACGCGCCTGGCACCATTGGACCCTGACGACATCTCCAAATGTGTTGGTTATATGCTGGGGTACTTGTCAACAGGTCCGGAGGCCGACGATATAGCGAGAAAAGTTGGCGGTCACCTGCGAGGGAGCGTCGGGACGGAGCTAGGCCCGACCGGGCTAGTATGTCATGTGACCCATCATTCCGCGTGGTTTAAAAGTTCTGCAGTGCGGCCCATTTCTGTTCTTTTCTTCTCTACGGCACCTTTCCTTATCATCACTGCGTTGAGTAACCACGACCAGTCGATCATTTTCCGGTGCTCAGAGCGGTTTTTGCGGCCATTTTTCGCTAGCGGTACCTTCTCAAATCAAGGCGTACTGTTAGATAGACGCTGCATACATTCATTCATACGGCTTCTCCTATGGAGACTGTAGCTGTTGCTATTTAATCATGCAAACTAGGTATTCTGGTATCTAGGAGCTACTTTTATCGTATTCATGGAGTGTAGTGAGTGGTCAACGCTCATTAGGCGAGTCCTAATGCAGTGTGTAGACTGGCTTTCAAGAGGGCTTAGCCAATGTGGCATACTCTCTCATTTGTACCAAAGACGCGCAGTTTGTTTCCATAAATGTCCCAGAATTGCGCGCCTAAGCGTGGAATCAATCGGCCCTCGTCGGCTTTCTTCTGTGTCTCAGGAGAGTCGTGAGGTGTTAGGGATATTCTGGTTACCTCGCCAGCGTCCTTGCTGCCGTTGTCTTGGACGACTTTTTCAACTTCGATAGAGCCGAACATAATACGGACGTTGTTCGACTTGGGACCTCTAGGTAGGACGACAGTAGCCTCGAAGTCGCCGATGACCTGTTTCGTGGGCTCCTTGGACTTTCCACTGGGTTGAGGCGTCTCTGGAACTGTTGGCGGAATTCCAGAAGTTCCCCTGTCTCGGAGCTGGGCAGAAAGTTTTATGAAGACCTGGGCAGTGAGCAAACTATCAAAGCCGGCTTCGTGATCAATTGCCCGCGTATTGTACTTGGTAAACTGAGGGTGTATACCTGATCGACATTAGTGAGGAACGACAACATAGCCATTGACCTACTTATTGCTGGTGTTGGCTGTGCAGCGAGGCTGTCATTAATTTCCTGCAGGGAAGACCTGGGGTTAATGGAGCCACAGTTGTGTGTAGCCATATACTTTGTATCCATCAACACCGGGAACATCTTGTGAGCCATGGCTTGGAAATCCTCCACGCGGTCCGGGAGAGGCCCAAAGAAGCACCGACAAAAGTAAATCAGGTCCGTGAAGAGGTTGTGGCCCACGAGAATAGGTCTATTCTTCTGCAAACGCTGCTTCACCCTCCGCGAGAAGTCCTGAAGGGAACTTTGGGGGTTCTCCTTCGAAGACGACATCAAATTAATGAAGCAGAAAGGCTCGAGGTTGGTCAGATCGCCCCCAGCTAGCGCCTCCGCGATCCATCTGAAGCCAGTCTGTTTCCAGATCCTTTCTTGTACCCATTTCACCCTCTGATTGCGAACGGCCTTCTCGCGCTGTTCGTCGTAGTCGATTATCTGTATAAATCCCGGCCTACTGACAGTCACCAAATTCGGATACTCCACTTCGATGAGCTGATGGACAAGCCTCTTCTGAAACCTATTGAGGTCTGTTGGCATGGATTTGGGGTGATTGGGTGGAGCTGGCCCATTAATAGGCCGAGGTGGCGGGATATTAAGGTAATTCTCCCGGGCCTGCTATCACGGTCAGAAAAGCAGTACTAGATGTGACCGAATCTATTACTTTACCAAGCGCCAGCCAATCATCTACAAGACGGCGAGCATCCTTTAGAAAGGCTATAGACTCATGCTCATGGTCTGCGACATCCAGGGAGCTGCGTGCTGTCGTGCGTTCATTCCTCTGCATGACTCTGGCCATTATTCGACTTTCCTCATCTCTCGACAAGTAGGTGACGCCATTCTTGTACAGGTCTTCCATGCTAAACTTGTTTTCCAGGAGGAACTCGACGGCTAAGTAGATCGTATTAGGTTAACGGGATGCGGGCAGCTTTGAAACGAGCATACCACTGCTTTGGAAGGAACAATTTCGGTCTAGATCCAGCTTCCGGTCGATGATTGGGCTCAAGTATAGATTATACGGCTTCAAGGTGTACGTTTCTGTGATTGCGCTATTAACACATCAACCTGGAGTGGTGGACATGTGTGTCTAACCTGTCTCCGGATCCTCATGGCAGATAGTCAAGCCAACTTGTAGTATTTGGTATTGATCAGCAGAATTCTTGACTTCTTCATAGCGCTCTTGCAAGGTGCTTCTGCTCTTGGGAGAAGGTCCAAGGCCTTTGGCGATGCCAGAGAATTCAAAGTCTATAGATACGAAACAACAGGATGCCAGGTCATCCAATACTCTGGGCAGGTGGTAGAAGAATGTTTGGGCGGATATATCCATGGTTTTCGGCAGTTCAACGATGCAGTAGCACCGTGCAAAGGAGAGTCAGTTATATATAAACTTGAACAGTGGAAGTTAAGGCAGATACAAGGGATGCGTATCTGGCTATTGTGTTAATAGTTAGGTGAATCAGGACGGAGTAGTAGATAGTGGATCAGCCTAAACAAAGAATACAGAGAGATCCGTAGTCAAAAGCTTGTCATAAAAGTCGGAAGATTCTAGACCCGGTTGCATTGCAATACCAGAGAAGAAACAGCCGAGATACAAGCAACGTATTCCAGCAAGATTCATGAATGGATTGAATGATGGAGAGGGGAAGATCGTCACTGGATTCACGCGACTGGAGCTGTGCCTGGAGGCCTCAGGCGCGGAGAGTCTATTTTGGGGAATTTCCGACAGCGGCGTCCCGTGACATCAGACCCCAGACTCTCGGCCAGCGAAACGCATGAGCCGAGGTGATGCTGAAACTCCTCCAGTCCAAGCATTGTTCTTAGCCCAACTTAGTGTCACGCTGTTCCCTCTACCGTCCCAACCACCCAGAGCTCCAATTCTATCGCACCCATTTATCCCTCGTGCAGTTTCTGTCTTTATTGATAGCCGCGCACGTTCCATTCGATTTCCCTTCTTTGATTCCTCTTTCCGATCCGTCGCATTTTCCGCTGGCGGTGAACAATGGCCGACGATGCTTCCTACATGTCAGCGTCCCAGTCGCAACTCCTCTCCTCGTCCACATCCTCATTGTCTCCCTCCAAGCTTTGCTCAAAAACATACAAGAAGGCATCAAACCTCTTCCTGACACTACGGTTACAAGAAGCACTTTCGGCCCTTGAGCCTGCGATTACAGTGGTCAGGGGAGCCGACGAGCCGTTCGTCAATGGCGATGATTCCGTCGCGCCCGTTGCTTCGGCTGGGCCGACCTGGCGGATTAAAGTGTGGAACCTGTACATTACACTCTTGAGCCAAATCATCGAATTGGGACCTGAAGAAGGCAAGAAGCTGTTTGGGCAGAAAGAATGGAAGGCCATCTCGACCACTGTTCGCGATGGTGAGATCTGGGAGACCGTTGTACGGACGGGGTATAGAGGCTTGGAGGGTTCGGTGGATGCAGAAGTCGTACATAACCTGTCAGTCATCACGTCGGATTTCCGACTACTTTCCATTACTGACAATAGTCTTTTACCGCAGAGCAACTCTCCTGTTGAAACACTCGCCTTCACAGAAACTCAATCAACAACGGCTCGAAACATACCTATCGTCTTACGGACAACCCAATCTGGATATATCAGACCATTTGACTAGTGGCTCATCTACACCGCGGGCAAATGGTGGTACGGAT